TAAATAAATAAAGGTATTGTGTCCATCTACAACTAAAAAGAAAATACTTTTAAAAAAATACTAAAAACAGGGCTGGGGGGTTGTGGCCTCATGGTAGAGGCCCTGGGTTCCATCCACAGAACTGCAAAAACCAAACAAACCAACAAAACAAACCACACACACACACACACACACACACACACACACACACAAAATGAACCCTGCATCCATGCTGACGTTTCCCTTGTTGTTATCCCCTAGACAACCCAGTATGATAGTATTACACGGCATTTACATTGCCTTTGGTATTATAAATAATCTAGAGGTGACAAACCATGAAAGTATGAGTACAGGTTATATGCAAATACGATGTCATTTTAAAAAATTGAGCACCGGGAGGCTGTGAAATGTTGGGGGTGGGCTGGAGCCCACCCCCTGGATCCCAAGGGGCCACTGCTAGGTGAGGAGGACCCAGCTTCATTCTTTTCCTCATGGAAATCCTTTTCCCAGCAGTATGKGTGGACTGTCCTTCTGCCTTCAAATAGTCCTGCAACTCTTCCTTGCCCCCAGTCACTCGACATGCGGGAAGGTTACATTCCGGACCCTGTCCAAGTCCATTGGTCCAGATGTCTGTCTTTATGTCAGAGCAACATTGTTTTGATTATTGCTTGCTATTGATTTTTTAGATTTTTTATTTGTTCTTTTTAGTCCTTCATGACATAGGATGTGTTTTGACATACCACACATACCTGCAGTAACTTCCCGCTGGTTTGGTTGCACATGCGGTGGAGTTACACTGGTCGTGTATCCATATAAGATAGGAAAGTTATGTCCAGTTCATTCTACTGTCTTTCCTATTCCCATACCCCCTCTCTTCCCTTCATTCCCCTTTGTCTAATCCACTGAACTTCTATTCTTCCCTCTCCTACTCCTACCACTTATTGTGAATTAGCATCCGCATATCAGAGAGAACATTCAGCCTTTGGTTTTCAGGGTTTGGCTTATTTCACTTAGCATGACACTCTCCAATTCCATCCGTTWGCTGGCAAATGCTATAATTTCATTTTTCTCTATGGCTGAATAATATCTCATCGTGTATATGTACCTCACTTTCTTTATCCATTCATCTGTTGAAGGCACCTATGTTAGTTCCACAGCTTGGCTATTCTTAATCGAGGTGTTGTAAACATTAATGTGGCTGTGTCACTATGCTAGGCTAATTGTAAGTCCTTTGGGTATATGCGGAGGAGTGGGATAACTGGGTCAAATGGTTGTTCCGTTTCMTGTTTCCTGAAGAATCTTCACAATGCTTTCAGAATGGTTGCACCAATTTGTAGTCCCACCAGCAATGTATTGCTACTGAATTTTTTAATCCAATTACACATGATCTGGGATGCCAATTTCTTGACATTTGAGATTTGTTTTATGTACTACTACATGATATTCATGATAATTTTTGGAAGTATTAGATGCATGCTTGGAAATAATGTGTTGGTGCTGAGCCCTATATACGTGGTTTGTTTTTCTGAGTTTGTCTTGGTGGCTTGTTTTTTGGGTGCTTTGTGATTTTGGATTGTGAGCTTATGTTTACTAGGGTTTTATCCGTGAGAGTCCCATGTAGCCTGCTGTGGGTGGGCGTGCAGGCTGGGAGGTAGGGCCCTTGAAATTGTACAGTGTAGCCCATTCCAGGTTGGTTTTATATCCATTTCTAGATTAAGTTGTTCTGGGACCACCTGAAAAATAAAAATCTACACTTCAAATTTGTCAGGGAAGGTCTAGAGTTACAATTCCTCAAAAGAAAATTCTTTTTTATGCTTCCAACAGAGCCAGAGGTGAGACAGGCAGTTTATGTGACATCACCTTTTGCTAAAGGGTCATTCCCTGCCCACCTTTTGCATTCTCACCAGGGGTGGGTCCAGTTGTATCCAGGTATCCTGGTTCTGAACCTGTTGATGAGGACCCTTGGCCGTGTCCCCATCTCCACAGAGGGGTCACATTCAAGCTCCTTGCTTACCAACATCAGCAGAAGCCAAAACCCTCCCTCTACTCTGGCCCCCACCCAGTGCTCCCCACTGACCCGCCAGGGTACCCAAAGAATCAGCACCTGTTTGTCACTCTGAGGTTTGACTTGTCGGTTGGTGGTCCCTGGGGAGTACTTTTTAATGGTCTTGGAAACTCAGTTCATTTGATTTTATCCGGTGTCTTTAATATAGCACGGCATGACAGAAGGTTCCTCCCTCACGCTGTAGTCCTGGCTGAGCCTCCATCCCCCATCCCCCAGACCCTGTGTCCTCACTTGTCTGATGTGGGTAACTGTCCTCTAGCCCTGCCTCAGTTTACCCTCCGTTCAGTGTGATGAAGAGCATGACTTGGGCAGGGGGGGGCTGGATATCCGCTCCTAGAGTTTCCCAGTGGCCTTGAGAGCTAAATGTCTACGTCCTTGGTGGCCCTTCTTGGCTGGCTGGGGACCTGTCATCTCACAGCTGAGGTGAACCCATCCATTAGTGCCAACACCTGCTTCCTTGCCTAACCTGATACCCAGCTGTTTGAAAACTGGAGAACTCTAAAGGTAATTGATCACCAAATCCTAAAATTTTCCAACGTCCCTTGACTCTGGCGATTCCCTGTTGTCCCCACTGCCTCTGTCAGTGTCTGGGCCTCATTTCCCTCATTAGGATCATTTCAAACCTCAGCCCTGAGCAGCCTTTGTCTCCCCCTAGGCCTCTCCCAAGCTCACAGCTTACAGATGCACAGAGCTGGAGTCAGGAGGCCAGGTCCACGCTTCTCCCTTGTGGCTGTCTTTGCAAACTGCTGTGGCTCAGATGTCCTTGTGCCTGGCCTGTGTGTGCTACAAGGCCTTTTGAAGTGTCTCTGCTCAGAGGCCAGCAGTTGGAACAAAGAGGGTGCAGAATCGGTTCATGATGTGGCTCAGAAGGGGAGAGTTTTGTCCCAGCCTCTCTGAACCCCTCTTCACTCCAGGAGGAGCTGGATCAGGACTGAAAACCCAGTATGCTTCAGCTTTTAGAGGATGACAAAGTAGATTTTGCAAAACTAGTCATCTTCATTTCATCCAGGTCCCACTCTTCACCTTGCCCCAAACCTAAGCTCCACCCATCACAGACCCTCACCCCAGCACAAGGCCAGGAAGAGGACACATCGAGCGTGGGGCCAGGGTGGGCACAGCCTGGCAAGCGCACCCCGTGCACAGCCCACCTGCCTCATCCCGGGTGCTGCGTCCAGCTCTCTACACCTCCCCCCTTGCTCTCCTCAGTGGGCGCTGGTCCTCATCACAGCTTCCGGCTCCTCTGAGAAGTTGCCATGGACACACTCATTAACTCTCAACCAAGGCAAGACCTGTGATAGCACAGTAGTGACTCACGTTGGGCTGTACCAGCCTCTGGGGACAGTCCTATGTCCTCAATCTCCAGAGCTTGGGGCTCAGGGCAAACAGACCAGCATGGAGAGAGCAAGGCTTTCCCACTGTGAAGAGGTGGGCCATTTGGGGCAAAGGAACTAACTGATCACTTCGCCTCTCTGCCCTCCTCCGGCTGTGACCTGTTCATGACGCATGGGCTGGCTGGGCACTGGGGAGGAATGTGTGCTAAGACAGTGAGGGGCTCACAGTACCTGCAAGGTGTGAGGTGTGAGGGTGTTTGGTGAAGTCCCCACCGAGGGCTTCCTGGGAGCAGATGCTTGGATGAGGAGGTATGGTGGCGARGAGGAGCAGGTGCCTTGGAGGACCAGCTCTGACCACGGCTGGACTCTGCTCCTCTCTCCTGCCCTGTCAGCACCACCCCTCTGAGTCCCTTGCCACCTGTCTGCCCTGCCTCTGTGATGTATCTGGGAGCAATCTCTGGAGGGACATGCTTCCATTTGGCTTGCTGGCCTGGGGACAGGGCCACTGGCATGTCAAGATAGCTGGACAGGCTGCTAGAGTCCCCCACCTATCTCTCAGCTGCTCCCAGTTTAGTGACAGAGATGACTCAAAGGCAGGTTCTGTGCCAGGTGCTGAGCTCTTTCTACAGCAGAGGGGCGAAGGCAGTTCTGCCCTTGGAGGGGCAGGGGCTGGGCCAGATCACAAGGAAGGAGCCAGGGTAGAGCCTGGGGAGGGCATCTGGCATGGGAGCAGTCTTAGAGAGCACGTGTGGGTGTGGGTGTGGGGGGTGGAGTGGAGACCCCTGCAGGCTGAGGACTTTGCACCGGATCCTGAGAGCTGTGGGCTCCCTGTTTGAAGGGGGCCTTTAGGCCTCTGGGGCCTGGTGTGGAAGTCGTGGCAAGGTGCAGGCAAGACTGGAGACTGGCAGGGTGCACTGCCAAAGGGGAGGTTCTGGACTGCGCGGATGCAGGGTAGGAGACCTGGAGAGGCCAGACATGGGATTTCACCACCTGGGAGCAGGAGGAGGGTGGAGGGCGGGCAAAGTGACACCTGTGCAGGGCCTGCACCTCAGGAGTTTGCAGGTGGGGTGCCTGGGGCTGCTGCTGTGAGCCCACAGAGGAGAGAGCTGTGTCATCGGCRGGTCACACAGCACCCAGAGCAAGTGCAAAGGACCCCCATTCCCTGAGCCGTGGGGCAGCTCCTCGATACCAAACAGGGACGTACCGTGCAGACCACTGGCAAGGGCGACATGCCCTCTCTGAGCTCTGGGCTACCACTCTGCAGGCCCCTTCCTCCCCTGGGTGCTGTGACTGCACCTGGGGGGACAGTGAAGGACCCCACCCTCCCACGTGCCGCCTACTATCCCCAAGGCTGCAAGAAGGGCAGGCGGCTGTGGCCTTCGGAGTCTGGGGCCATGGTGGGAGGGAGGGCACCGGCCTGCCGCGTGCCCAGGCAGGACAGGGGTGCGCGGGGGACTCGGGATGCCCGGCCCGCGGGGCTGCCCACCGCCGGACGCTGCTTCAAAGAAAGAGACAGACGCACCCACCGGGGCTGGGCCTCGGCTTCGGAATGTGACAATTTATTTGGGGGTAAAAGAGGCTTTTCACTCCCATTTCCTGGCATCGATACAATACTGAAGAGCAGCAGAACAAACACACACGACAGTCACCCGCCGAACCCACCCTCCCCCGCCCGGAATCCACGGAACCGGAACGACAAGACCAACCCACACCGAAAACCAGCCCTTCCCCGCCGGAAGTCCTGGCGGGGAGGAGGGGGCAGGGGCCGCCCGACTTCCGGCTCCTGCCAGTCCTACTACGTTCCCGTCTTGACCGCTGGAGGCGACGTTTAGCCAGCTGGGAGCTGGATGGTTGGACCACAGACAAGGCAACACCACTTCATTTTAAAAATGAGCGCGAGAAAAAGAGACAGTGCCCCTCCCCAAATATAGAGCTATATACGTATACTTTATATATATAGAATTCCTTCGTGCACGATTCATTAAATGAGCTTTTCAAAAATTAAAAAAATTATAAGATACATATTTATTTAGGCCTTTGTGTTTTTAAATTAAAACCAACGAAAAGCAATTTGCATCTCTCTGTGCCCAGCAAGGGCAGGCGGGGGCACCTCGCTCCTCTCACCTGGCCTCTGGGGGAGGCCCCCCACCCTCCCGTTCGCCTAACTGATGCTCTGCATACAGTAGGCACTCACTGCTGGAGCACTGACTCCTTTGAGGCTTTGAGAGGGCGGGCAGGTTGAGAGGAAGGGTCCCCGGCCCTCACCCAACAGTCTCCCTGCTTCTGCATCTTGGGGACTGTCCACAAGGGGGGGCCAGGGAGCCCCTCTCCTGCAGTTTGAGTCCTTAGCTGGGCTAAATTGGGAGGAGATGCAGACAGAAAAAACTAAAACGCTTAAACTTCTTCCTTTTTTCTTTTAAAAAAGTGATTCCTCAAACCATATAAGCCCCAAAGAGGCCACCTTGGGCTAGTGCGTGGGAGCCCAGGAGTGGAACTGACCGGCTGACCAGGTGGGGCTCCACTGTCCAGCACGGACGAAGTGCAAAAAAAAAAAAAAAAAAAAAACCAACCAAGCAAAAAACCCTCCCAAAACAGAAAAGTGGGGGAAGGGGGTGCATCCTCTCAGAAGGGGCCACAAAGGCTGGCAGCAGCCCAGACCCCCTAGCTGTTTTTCCCGAAGGCTGATCCTCCAGCTCTGGGCAGTCCACTGGCCTGGTAATCCCAGGACCACTCAGCTCTGGGATCAGCCGCTGACCTTGTCCTGGAGTGGGTTCCTCACCCCAAAGAAGCAGCTTGGCCTCCTTTGGAATGGGGAGATTCCGCCCACCCTGCCACCTCTCCTGCAGCTGGGAACTTGGTCATCACCTCCTCCTGGATCACAGGAAGGAAGCTCATTTTGACCTTGACCCCTTTGCAGAGTGAGAATAAATGGGACTGTGGGTGGCTGGAGGTCCCAGGGCCAGCAGCCACGAGCACCTCACGTCCTTACACACCACCAGTGCCTTACGCCCAGGTGCCTTTCACACATGGGCATGCTGAGGGTCAGAGCGGAAGTGAGACAGGGGCACGTGCCCACTGTCCAACTCAAACCAGACACCGGATCTCATCTGTTTCCTATGACGCGTAGGAGGGAAGGGGTGCATTCAAGGGGAGATGACCAATGGCCACCCTCTAGTGAACATAGAGGACAGTGGGCTCTGGGAGTTACTTCACATACAAAAATAAAGCAAACCAGATTGCAACTTTTGCTAGGTAATTAGGCAAATGGAAAAGCAGCAAGGGGTGGAGGAGGGGCCCACAGGAGGCCGATCCGTCCAAGTGTGCGGTCAGGAGTGGGCAGGCTGACTGGGCCTCCTGGGAGAGGGAAGGAAGCCTCAGACCCCATGCCCCCTCAGGCCCTGGAGGGCACCCTCCCAGAGGCAGTGTGTGGGCATGCCCGAGGTGGGGACAAGCTGCGTGGCTTGGAGCTGGGGCAACAGCCTGCCCGTGGAAAGAGATGTCCCATCTCCCCAGTTACCCCTGTCATAGTCACTGCCTACATCTCGCAGGGAAGAGACTCTTCCTGGCCAGGGGAGCTCAGGAAGTTCCCGTCTCAGGGGTGATAAGAAGGTCCCCACAGGGTGGTACTAGGAACTGCTTGGCCCTATAAGCTAGCAAAGGAATGGAGAGGAGAAGCCACACCTTCCAGGAGAAAACTGCTAACGAGCCACAGCCACAGAGCACCAGGACCCCATCTCTCCAAAACCTCAGCAGCCTTGATCTCCATCAGCCGGGCAGCAGCCTGGGCCCCGGCTTCTGGCTCGCTCCCTGGGGGCAGCTGTCTTCCTTCCCTTTACTAAGGACGGGTGTGGAAGTGGGCCAGCTCAGCGGAAAGGCTCACCCTCCTGGGGTGGAGGAGGATGGCCAGCCCCAGGGACCACCAGCTTCTCATGGCCACCTCGTCTGTGCAATGCCGCATCACTACGTTCTCTTTAAATATCTTTCTCCCCCCACCCCACTCCCTTAGGAACCCCATGATAGTTTTTTCTATTTCTTTTTTTCTCTTTTTTTTCTTTTTTCTTCATTTTTTGAAAAACTAATTCTTTCACTTTCCTGTCATAAAATCACCTCTGAAAACACAACTTCTTTACAAAAAAGGTCACGAATTACACAGATTCTCAGGAAAACACATTTCCATGGTCTCTGGAAACACCTGTAATTGGCCCAGGTGGTGGCTCACCTGGGGAAGGGCTGGGGGAGTCACCTCTGAAGGCAGAGGAGAAATACCAGCCCTTATTTTGGGGAAAAGCCAATTGGCACTTGGACGGTCGCAGAGCCCAAAGGGCGGGGTGGGGAGGGACTTGGAGTGCTGCCACCTCAGACCCTGTGGGAGCCCCTGTTCTGCACCCCAAGGGTGCGCTGGGGGGGCCATGCTGCAGCCCCCAGCAGGGAGATTCRGAAGAGTGTCCTCCCAAGGGACCAAGGTGCTTGCTCAGTATCTGACGGGCTCCCCTCCTGCCTCTTGCCATCTTGCTTCCGAGCAAGGTACCAAGGGCGGCACATATAGGGACCCAGTTTAAGCCACATGCAGAAATTGCCATCCACATCCACCTGCGTCCCTGGCAGTGGCCAAGAGTGGGCTGCCAGGGGCCCCAGACTCACCCCAGGGGACAATACCCTTGTCCTCCGGAACACAGGCTCCTCTGCAGTCTCCGGTCCCTGCAGCCCACTCTCCCAGTGCCTGGCCTAAAGCTGGGGCTTTGGTCTCTGCCACTGGCATAGGTGCCTCGGCTCCCTGGCAGCAGGGGCAACAGACGCTGCCTAGGAGCCCCGAGGCCTCCCGCTGCTCCGAGCAGGCTGGGCTGAGAGAAAGCCTCAGCGTCAGAAGCAGACGAGAGGGCGGGGAGGAGCGGGAGGCCCTCGGAGCTCTCCAGGCCCCCCCTCCCCCAACACCCTGGAGGAGGGTGAGGCTGAAGTGGGGCTCCCCATGCTCGCCCACAGTTCCCACCATGCCAGGTCTGCAGTGAAGGCCCGGCTGGCTGGGCTGACCACCCCAAAGAGAAGGGTCTGGGGCTCGGTGACCTTAGCACACTGGGCAGGGAGAAGCCGGGCAAGGGCACAATAAACTGCCCAGACACGACTGTTCCAGGCCTGAAGAAAGGGAAGGGCCAGGACTTCAGGGACACTGTTCTGAGGAGCTGCAAAGGGTGCCGCAGGGAGGGCCCATGGCCCAGCACCCGATGCCCACATGGACCCTCGTACACACACGCCAATGGGCAGATGCACACTCAACCGAACCTTCCACAGCAGGTTCTTATAGCACCTTTGGTCAAGAACTGAAGGGCCTTTAGATGCCAGGAGGCTGTGGCAGGGTGCACTCTACCAGCTCCTCCCGCCTTCAAGACGGGGATCGGAAGCGGACACAGTGGGGCACAAGGGGCCTGCTTGGGCCTGGTCCAGAAGCAGGCAGTGAGGCTCGGCCTCTGGCCCAGCTGCTGTGCCCTCACTAGTGGAGCGGGAGGGGCCCATCTGGTATCCTCCTTCACTGTCTGGGGCTTTGCCAAATGGGCAGGGAGCCATCCCTGCCCCCTCCTGCTAGGCATCTGCAGGAAGAAAAGGGACCATGCCCACCCTGGGTGGGGGTCTCCGAGGGACCTGCAGCTGCTGGGTTAGCACCGAGGTCAGACGCTGTACACGAGCAAGAAGCAAGCAGAGGGGAGATGGAGCGGGATGTAGATAGGGCAGGTGGCCAGGCCTGGGGCTCCCTAGAAGCCCAACAGGCCCACTGCACACAGGTAGGGGCAGTACCAAGAGACAAGCGMGTGCCCTGTCCCAGACTTGACCTAACCCAGACTGCCCCGCCCACTGGCCTCTGGGAGGCCAACTGCCCAACCCCATCCCTGGGTCAGCATGGAGCCATTTGAGACAAGCAAAGCACAGGCAGACGGATCTGAGGGCAGGGGTAGGGCAGGAGCACAGGTGTGACTTCAGGCAGGAGGCCCCCCTGCCCTCCTCCTTGGGGGGCCCTTCACTTGCTCACCACACTGCTGCCACCTCCGGCCACAGCGCCTGCTACCCCAGCAGCCACCTTCTCGAAATCCTCAGGGTTGCAGAATTCCTTGATAGTGACTGTCAGGAGGTTGCTGGTGACATCGGTGACAACCACATTGGAGCAGGGTGACATCTCAGGACGCCAATCCCCAGCCTCAGGCTCAGAGGCAGCACTGGAAGGCTCTGGGGCCACTGGAAGTGCCTGGGTGGCGGCAGCAGTGACATCAGGAGGTGCCCGCTTGCTGGTGGCCGCCGACTCCGGGGGAATGGACAGGTCGAGCACCTCTGGCTCGGGCCAGGTGGGGGCGGGGGAGCTCATGGTCTCAGGGAGCAGCTTGGGGGGCGTATCATCAGGGTCAGAGGACTGCAGTGTGGGCGAGGGGCAGCCCGAGGAGCTGGAGCTGTGGGCATCGTAGGGGGCAGCAGGGTTGGCCAGGAGCAGCCCCTGGCCGGGGGCGGCGGGGCCTTCGGCTTTGCCGGCAGGAGGGGGGGACAGAGGGGCAGGCGGGGGCTTGTACAGTGAGAAGGTGCCGAACTTCATGTGGCGGATCTGGGTGCGCAGGACGCTCTCGCTGAACTTCTTACTCTTGCCTATGACGCGGTTCCTCGATGGGACTTTGGGACGGGCAAGTGCCCCCGCGCCCTGCGCGGCAGCCCCTGCGCCAGGGCCTTTGTCGATCACCTTCAGATTGAGGATGATGCGATTCCGTTTGGGCTCGCGGGGCTTCACCTTGCGATTGATGATCCGCACGGTTTCGGAGAAGGGYGAGATGGGTGGGCGCAGGCCAGGGCTGCCTCCTTGGGGGTCTGGGCGGGGCAGGGGGCGGCGGGACATGCGGTGGCAGCGGCGGATGTCCTTCTTGAGCCGGTGCACAGCTGCGCTGGAGTGCAGCTTGGGCGAGGAGGCGCTGGCGCTCGGCTTGACAGAGAAATGCACATCACTGATGCGGAGRGCCTCTGCCTGCGCCCGGGCCTGCGGGCAGAGGGGCGTGGATGGGACCTCAGGGCCCGCTGACCTCCCACACCCTGCACAGCCAGCCCTGAGCACGGTCTCAGGAAACCAGCTGAGAGCAGGCAAGAGAACACCGGTACTTATGACCCTTACTCAGAACAGGAGACAAGTCCAGGAGGGGACTCCACTTGCCTAAGGTGACCTGCAGTCTTGCTGGCCCCGCCTTCATGGCTCAGCTGACGGCCACCCTGTCAACAATTAGGACCCTTCACTGGGGGGCAGTTCTTACAATTCTCAGTGACATGAAGGAGGGGCAGGTCCTCCCTGCTCCCCTGGCACCTCAGTCCTGCTGATGCATTTGTACTGTCCCCAGGTTCCCATTCTCTTGCCTTTGGCCAACTCCAGCCCCATCCCCCCCCAGGCCTGGCTTAGAATGAGCTGGAGTGCAGCAGAGGACTGTGGGCAGCCAGGAGAACTCCCAGGCTCCTGGACCCAGCTGTCCTTCCAGGTATGGAATCTCTCAAAAGCCCCAGGGCTCTGCAGTGGCTCATCTGCCACCTCAAGGGAGGTCCAATAGGACCCTTGAGAAACCCAGCTCTTAGTCCAACCCATCTACTGTCAGAGGACACCAAATGGAGAGTGAGCAAGGGACTCCCAGAGCCATATAAGCTGTCCCTGGTGGCCTGTCCTTCCTTTGCTAAGAAAGATACTAAAGAGTCAAGGCCAGGGACTGGGGTCGTGGCTCAGTGGTAGAGCATTTGCCTAGCATGTGTGAGACACTGGGTTCGGTTCTCAACACTGCATATAAATAAATGAATAAAATAAAGGTCATTAACAACTGAAAAAATATTTTTTTTTTTAAAAAAGAGTCAAGGCCAGCTGCTCAAGTCTGCAGTGACAAAAACGGGGCAACATCCTCTCAATGAGGGCATGGCGCACAGCAGCAGAGGGCAGGGGGCGGGGCAGCGCAGGGGGCGGGGCAGCGCAGGGCAGTGGGAGGGCAGGTGAGAAGACAACCCCCCCAGGTGAAGGAGGTATCATCAAGCCGGGCCCTGAAGCCTAAGAGGAGAGCACCATGGTCCTTACTGAGTACCCAGGGTGCCCAAGCAGTTCCACAGTGAGGGTGGCCCCGAGAAGACAGGGACACAGGGTAGAGGCAGAGAGGCTGTGGGCCCACTCCAGGGAGTGACAGAATCCAGAGTGTACCAGGGCTGGCAGCCATGGATGGGGACAGAGAACTTAGGCAATGACTGCCTGGATCCGGGTGGGAGCAGAGAGATAGGTCACATCCTCACAATCAGGGTGACCCTAAGGTGGGGCTGTGTTCCAGGGTCTTGCCACCTCCCACTCCCCACAGCGCTGGAGGCTCAGCCTCCCAGGGAGGTAACCCGTGTGTCCTGACAGGACTAGACTAACCATGACCTTCCAGCTGACCAAGGGTGGCTCAGAACATGACCCTCACACCCCGGGGCTCTATCTGGTCTCCCCACCCAATTTGGGGCCTCCTGCTCAACAATTCCTCTGGCCACCAGGTGGCAGCACACAAGGCCAATGCCACCAGCTCCCACTGCTCCCAGCCAGCTGAGCTCCCCAGGGATCCGACCACTCACACCCCTTCCCAGACAAAGGCAGAGAGAAGCTTTCTGCTGGAAAACAGGGTCTTAGCTGCGAGAACATCCCCATGGAGCTTAGGGGGTCTCCGCTCTTTCGCACCCTCAGGGGACTGGTGCTTCTCCCTCTGTGTTCTGCCCGATCCCAGACCGGAGTCCAGCAGTGATGCAGGGGAGCGGCAGAGCATGGGTAAACTGCAGATGCAGGAGGAACCCCCAGTCTCATTTTTCCTGTCTGTACAATCATGACAGGCCCCACCCCAGGGGCACTCCTGGGGTACCTCATGGTGTACAGCACCTGCTCGGCACAGGTCTGGATGCAGCAAGCACTCAATTCATTTGTCCATGGGTGTTGAGTCAGTGAGCAAGCATCTCCTTCTAAGGCATGCTTTCCAAATTTTCTACCAGAAACATTTCTTACTTTATAATTTTTAAATATCTTTATGAAATACTGAATACAAGTCTATCTGCCTGGTGAGTTAAAAGTGACCACTGCCAACATGCTTCTGGCTCCGGGGGGTGGGGGGTGGCAGCCCTGGCTGAGGGGTTAGAAACTCTCKAATGTGTTATTTAACTTAACCTCTTTGGTCTGTCTTCTCAGGTATGAAATGGGGACAATGGAACCTATTGCAGGCTCCTGCTCCCTACAGAGTGGTTCCTGGCAGAAAGTGCTATTTGGGTGTAATCTGATGACTGTCAAGGCTCTCAGCACATCCCAGCAGTGGGCCCAGTTCCAGCTGCCTCCACAGCCCCTCACAGGTATCTTTATCACTCTTGTGCTACCTGTTTTGTAAGATCTAGATCAAAGTGCTACTGTCTGCCTCTGCACCCAGTGTGCGTCCGCCTGCTCCCTTTAATCTGACATGTACTCAAGGAAGAAAAAGGATGAGGTCAGCCATGACTACTAGGATCTCAGGTGGGTTGTTCCCCTTCTCTGGGCCTTGACTTTTTCAAATGCGGATAAAAATACTCCTCACTTCACAAGGTTGTTGAAAGAATTAAAACAATTCATGCACAGGGTTCAGCACTGTTAGGCCCATAGGCAGCTCAGGGAAAAAGAACCTGAAGTAAAAGGCACTTGGTGAACCCATATGCTCAGGGCCATGACTCGCTTCGCCGCTAGAGGGCGCTGTCAGCCCACCAGCCTTCCAGCTGCTCCGCCCCATCCCTCCCACCGAGAAGCACCAGGGTTAAGGCTGCTCCAGGGATCCCCTAAGATACGCTGCAGCGGGGGGCGGGGGTTACAGAAATATGGAATTTTGGAAACCCACATTTTTTCCACTTCTGCTTTCAGTTCAAAACAAACCCTTACACACGCCGTCCTTTGGCTGGGCGTACGTGGGGGGAGGAGTGGGCTGGACAAGACCATCCCACCCTCCCTGGGCTTTGAGCCTTTTGGACAAACTGGAGACTCTTGAGATTCTGCAGCCCCTTTTCTGAAAAAAAGCCCTCCCTATCCTTTTGGTGCCAAACGTCACAAAATAACTGGCTCCGAGGTGGGAAGAGGCCCTGAGATATCCTCAGCCCCACAGGGAGACTGCAGTGCCCCAGTGAGTTCCGCCTGCAGCTCTGCCGGCCACCTGGCCACTTCAGGTCGCCTTACCCTCCTTCTCCCAGACTCTTCTTCCTCACCAAATAATACAAAAGCCCCATCCCCAGGAAGGCTTCCTCTGGAAGTTCATCCCTTCCCTGCCAGGGCCAGCGGGCTAGGCTTCACTACGCCCGGCCCCACCCCATCCTCTAAGAACCTGAATAAACAGGTTGGGGGCATCGGAGGTTCAGCACCTCGCCCACCCCAGTCAGTGGTCCAGCTTGATAACATTCAAGCCAAGTGATTTAAGGTCAAGTTCAAATCCAGCCCAAAAGTGAGGAAGGGAGAGAGGCAAAGTAAATCCTGAAAGGTGGGGAGGGGGAGGTGGGCAGGTGGCTTCCAAAGTGCCCCTCCAGGTGCCCCGCCAGAATGTGGCCCCTGCTCACTCTCCCCCTGGGCTCTACCTCCCCCAAGCTCCCAAGGCTGGCGGAGGTGAGGGATCTCCTGGCAAAATAGCCTCCCTGCCACCCCCTCCTGCCACCTGCCACATCCAGTTCCTTCCAGGAGCCCCGCAGGCCCCCCAGACCCTGGCTTCGTCATCGGGGATTATCCCTACTCCCAGGCCCCTGGCTGGAACTGACCCCGGCCTGCTGCCAGGGGCTTGTCTGGGGTTCGCAACTACCCCCTGCCCAGCTGGGGCCCCTCAGGAAAGGCCCGCCCGCCTGGGCGGTCGCAGATCGGTCCCTCCCCTCCCGGCCCCGCGCTGTGCCGGAGCTGGGGGCCCGAGCGGGGGCTGCTGGGGCTGGGCCAGGTTACCTTCAGGAGGAAAGTTTTAGGTTTGGGTCCCCTCTTCTTGGGTCCGTACAGCTCGCGCTCCCTCTCCCTGCGTCGAGAAACGCCAAATGTTAAAAAGAGCCCCTTGGCGGGCCCCCTCCGCGGCCCGCCCGGCTCTCGCGCCTCCCCGCGCGGCGCCCCACGAGCCTCGGCCCCGCCGCCCCTGCCAGCTTCCCAACTCACTTCTGCTCGAAGGCGGCAATGAGCCGCGAGTCCAGGATGTTCTCCTCGGGCTCCCAAGTGCTGTACCTGCCGAGTCAMGCACGCACAAAATCCAAATGAAACCACAGAGGCAGGGCACGCCGCGAGGCGCTCGCGACACCCTCCTCCCAAGGCCGGGTGCCCGCTGCCGCCCCTCCCCCACGCCCCGGGCCCGCCGCACTCACTTGATCGCCCACCCCTTCCATTTCACCAGGTACTCGATGCGTCCCTGGAAAACAGAAAGGAAAAAGGAGGGGTGTGGGGGTGGGGAGGATGCGGGGACGCAGGGAGGCGGCGACGCGGGGGTGGCCGAGGGAGCCGGGTTAGCGGGATCGCTTCGCCCAGAGGGCTCCGGCCCCGGGGAGCGGAGGCCGGCGGCGGGCGAAGGCTCACCTTTCGGATCCGCCGTTTGATGATAGACTCGGCCGCGAAGACCCGCTCGCCCACTGCAGACAGCTCCATCTTGCTCAGCAGCACCCACAGCCCATAATACTCCCTGCTCCCGCGGCCGGTGCTGCACCGCTCGCGCACGCGCCGCAGCGCACAGGCCCCGGCGGGCGGGCGCGCGGCGGGGYGCGCGCTCGCGTTCCAGCTGCGGGCCGTCACGTGACCCGCCCGGCTAGCGCGCCGTTGCCAGGACCTCCCCCTCCCCGGGGCGGTTGCTAGGGAAAGTTTGCGCTCGCGGGGCGGGGGCTCGCGTTGGCTCTTAAAGGGGCCTCGCCTGGCGGCGGGAACCCGGGCGGGAGACCAGTGGATGTTTGGCTTGTGACAAGCCCCGTGAGGCGCAGTGCAGTCTTCCACTCCCCTCCACTTCATCTTCCAGGCCTCGGTCGCTATCACCTTCTCCCCTCCATTCAACCCCCCTGGCACGTCTTGCCAGGCCGCAGACCTGTAAGTGCCAGTGAGCCTTGGCGTCTGCAGCCGCGGCGCATCCTCCTGTAGAAGTTTGCAAACAGTTAAATATGATACAGCAGAAATGCATTTGCTGTTGCCTTGCCAGGCCTTGCGGGAATTTCTCTACTCCACACCCCACCCGCTCCGTTATCCATTATTTATGTATTCGTGGGTGTGTGGTTTTGTAACCAGTTCAGATGAGTTAAAACAAAAACGCCACCGCAGGAAAGGGGGTGCGGTGGATCKGCCGAGGCAGGTCGAGGAGGCCGAGGTGATCCTGGGCATCCGTTCTTGAGCTGCGGTCTTGGGCAGCACCTGCCTTCCTTCACCCAGGGGGCCCTGAAGACGAGGAGAGGACCATGTGGCTGTGGCAGGAGGAGGGAGAAGCTGCGGGGCGAGAAGGTCCCGCACCTCAGATTAGGTCCAGAGCGGGTCATCCTTGGGTCACTTGTCAGAATCCTCCCCAGGGGTCATATCAGTGTTTTCTCATCCCAGGCCGCTTTGCCACGTCACTGGCCTGCCCGCAGTTCCTCTCATGGTTCCGCCATTGCTCTCGGGGACACCAGACCCCAACTTCCCATTTGGGGAGGGGCTGCGGGATCTGGAACGGTCCCCAAATAGACAGAAAGTAGCCCTAGCCACACAAAAACCTTTTGTTTTGTAGTTATTTAAGGGTTTTTTGTTGTTGTTGTTACAATAGTCTTGTTCTTTGCAAAACAAATATTTAAAAAACATTCAGACAAGGGGGGAAAACCCTGTAACCTCCATAAAACCGTTAACATCTTCAAAAATCTTCCAGCCTCTGTTCACTGCTTATGTAAGCACATGCATACTATATATACATCACATGGATATTCATTGCGGGTATATATGTGCATATGTACGCATGTATAATTTTTAACAAAATAGGATAGTACTGTTTACACTGTTCTGAAATCTGCCTTTTCTCCCTTACTGACATCAATTAGACCTTAAATACTGATATCGCCATCATTTTAATGGGGGGGGGGGACTGAGATGGGTTGGGGGTGGTCAGAATTGTCTCTTGTTTGCACGACTTGATCATCAGGAAAGATTTTTACATTTCTGTGCTGCATCACCATCACTTGCTGTTTCAAATCAACCACATCAAAAAACTAGCATTTCATCCCTGTATCCCTGCAAATGTGTTCAAGTACTACCTTGAGAGAACCCCTCCCCCATAAATCCTAATGCGCCAGAGCAACAGCTATTCACTGGCAAGCCCCAAGTGAGCATCCAGGTTAAAACAGCGCTGTGCTCTGGGGGCGGGGGCAGCCAGGGTGCGGGGGCAGCTAGGGTGCGGGGAGTGTGAGTTCTGTGAGTGTGTGTGTGTGTGTGTGTGTGTACGCGCCCACACATGTAGGCTGAGAAGAAGGCAGCAAATGAAGCAGGTAGTTATCAATCCACTGGTCAATTCATTCAGCAGCATTTGTGAGCCCTTGTTAAGGATCAGGTTTTATATTAAACCATCAGGAAACAAAGATGCCTCGGGCTCAGTATGCTAAGTCATGTTGAAAGGCACCTACCATGCAATGTGACTAGTGCTGCAAGAAGGGTGTATTAGTTTCCTGTTGCTGCTGAAACAAAATACAGCAAACTTAGCGGCTTGGATGACATAAATTTATTATACTAGGGTTCTGGGAGTCAGAAGTAATGAATCAGTGTCACTGATCTCGAGTCAAGGTATCCTCCTGCCTGTTTGCTTTTGAAGGCTGCAGTAGAGAATCTGTTCTTTGCCTTGTCCAGCTTCTAGAACCTGTTGGCGTTCCTTGGTGCATGGATGGCTTCATCATTCAAATCTGTTTCTGCCTTCTGCTGGCTGACTTCCTGCCTCCATCTCATAAGCACCCTGTGGTCACCTTGCGTCCACCCAAATAATTGAGGACAATCTCTCCCTTTCAGCATCCTTGACTCAATTATGCCAGCAGAGTCCCTTTATATGATGAGTTAGGAATCATATTCATGGGTTCTGGGGATCAGGATGTGGGCGTCCTGGGTGGTGGGATTATTCAGCCTACCACAGAAGGTAAGTACAGGGCGCCTTGGGGGAGGCCTGGAGGAGGGGCCGGGAGGGCTGGCATGGAATCTGCCTGTTAGTGACAAACGGGAAGGGCATCCCAGGTAGAGGTGTCATCCAGGGCACGTACCTCGAGGCCTGAAGATGTCTGCTTTGGGGACCCAACACGCAGCCTGCTGTGGCTTGGGCCAGGGGGATGCGGCAAGGAATGACACTGGGAGGATGGGTGGCTTCAYGGGGAAGGACCTTGGGTGCTGCTTGAGCTTGGACTTTGTCACCGGCAGTGCAGCCACCAGGGACTCTTCAGMTGAGTGTTCAGATGAGGTGGTGGTGGGGGGGTGCTGAGGATGTTCAGATTCCTGATCCTTTTCCCTCTCTGGGCCTTCGTGTTTCAACTGCAGCATGGCAGGCGGAGTGGCCAGTTCTAGTGGCTCCCAACATGTTTGGCCTGTGACTTTTTTGAGAATTGTTCTGTCCCAGCTACTCCGTTTTTGAGAGATCTGTGCCCACCCCTAAGCACGCCCTATGCTGTGAAGCCATGGAGATCTTCTCTATTCTACGAGCAGAAGTCCCCTCACCTCTGTGTGTGGTTCTGATGTTTGGTCCACGGCCACAGGGGAAGAGATGGATCCCATCCCCTGCTGAGTTGCTGCCCAGARAGGGCATTTCAGTCAGCACGCGCCACGGAGCAGACCCACAGCACAAAACACCAAGAAGCGATTCTCCCTCCAACCCTTGCGCTGGTTCCCCTTTCTGTAAACCCTCAGAGTCATTGTCAGCCTCTGGAAGGCAGGGCCGAGGACAGGATCCCCTGGTCTTCCTGGTGCAGCTGCTCTGACTAAGGTTCCTTTCATGGTTTTCAGCAGGACCTGTGGGCTTGGCGGCGGCACCTGGACCTGACTCGGTGGACCCTGGGGTCAGGCCTTTAGCCTAGGACTCAGGTGACAGCTGCAGACGCCACATCCAAGGTGGAAAGCCACAGTCTCTGAAGGCCTGGCCTTGAAGTTACACAGCTGTGCTCCCCCAAGTCACAGGTGTGGGGAGCCTAGTTCAAGGTTCCCAAGGTCCCTGCTCTAGTCCTGCCCGGTGTACGGGTCCTGTGTGATCTCCCCCTTCAGTCTATAGGGAATAGACTGGGATTTTCCCGCCATGATTAGGTTGTATGGAAAATGTAAAGCGATTCTTGCGGATGCAATTAAGGTCCTAATCAGTTGACTCTGAATTGCCCCAAAGGGAGTTTGTCCTGCTGTGACCCAGTGGGGGAGGGGGGCTCTGGGAAAGAGGGGCCAGACCTTCCCTGAGGGCAGTGATTTGGGGCAGCAGAATTGCTCTCCTTTTTTGTCCTTGAAGAGGCAAACTGCCACACTGTGAAGCGGGTCCTGTGGCGGGAGCCGTGAGCTGCTTCTCAGAGCTGAGGACCTCAGTCCTGCCATCACAAGGATCTGATTTCTGTCACCACCTTTGAGCTCGCAGAAGGACCCTGAGCTTTCAGGTGAGTACCTCCCCTGGATGACACCTTGGCCACAGCCTGGGAGCCCAAGCAGTCTCCAGATAAGCTGCCCCTGACTGATGGACACTGTGGGAATACATGGGTGTTGCCCTGAGCCACTGAGTGGTGGGGACTCAGCATCACGCTCTTAAAAACTCATCAATAACGGCCCAGATTCAGGGATGGGAGTAGACTCCAGCCCTAGATAGAGGATTGACAAGGTCACATGGCAAAGGGGGCTGAGGWCTATTATACGATATCACAAGTGGGTCCCCGATTTGGAGGCCAGATACTCCTTCCACAGTGGCACACCCCTATAATCCCAGCAGCTTGGGAGGCTGAGGCAGGAGGATCATGAGTTCAAAGTCAGCCTCAGCAATGGGGAAGCACTAAGCCAGTCGGTGAGACCCTGACTCTAAATAAAATACAAAATAGGGCTGGGGGTGTGGCTCAGTGCTAGAGTGCTTGCCTAGCATGCGTGAGGCACTGGGTTCCATCCCTGGCACCACATAAAAATAAACAAATAAGGGGGCTGGGGATGTGGCTCAAGCGGTAGCACGCTCGCCTGGCATGCGTGCCACCCGGGTTCGATCCTCAGCACCACATACAAACAAAGATGTTGTGTCCGCCRAGAACTAAAAAATAAATATTAAAAATTCTCTCTCTCTCTCTCTCTCTCTCTCTCTCTCTCTCTCTCTCTCYYYYCTCWCTCWCTCT